AGATCAGTGCTAGTTCTGAACAGAACTTTTTCAGGAGACATTTTTATTTTTAAAAAAATGTGTTTCTTGCTTTTATATATATCAAACAAACATTAACATTTTGGTACCCTCCCTCCCCATCCCCCAAACAACGTCCAAGGTTATGAACATGTAAAAAGCAATGGCCACTTCCAAATCCCATAGAAACATTGTTCTGTAGATTCCCACGAGTCTTAGGTGGTCTGTATACATGTTCTTTTTCTGTAAGGCATGAGGATAAAGGCAAACCAGGTGTTGTTAAAGCTGTTGGAGTTTTTTTAGTTGTCTTCCTTTGCACTTTTTGTGAGTCCATTTCCCCATCAAAATTAGGTTCCAAGTAGATTTACATCCAAAGAACTCCAGCATCAGGCATGCTGCAGTTAACAGATGAACTATTGGGTCTTTATCTTTAAAGTCCCCGGTGCTCCTTCTGCAAAGATTGAGAGTAAGGCAATTTGGGGGTCCATAACTATTGGTTTCGAGGCATTTTCCTGAGAAAATAAGGTTGAGAGTTTTTCCTTTTTCTAGGTTGTTTTCCAGAGGGACGTTGGAGGTTGCATGGAACTGAGCACCACAAGACCTTCTGCAGGCAAACGGTCTCTTCCCCCACTGAGCTATTAGGAAGCGGCCGTGGACCAGGTCAGGCAATGTTCCTTTATCCTTTATGTTGCTAAAAGCGTCCATTTTGCCTAGCCCTGGAGAATGCATTGTGGAGAGACTGTTTGGAACTTCTCCCAGCAGACAAAAACAGCCCAGCTGTGACATGTATTTTGTGCACTCTAAATTTTTTTATTTTATCTATATTGCATGTGTTTCTTCATATATATATATATATATATATATATATGAGAGAGAGAAAGGGAGGAAGAGTATCTGTCTATTTTCTGAATTTCCTGAGCAAAATTTTTATATGGCTTAATAGTAATAATAAAATACTCTTAAGTGGTTTACATAAAATGGCATAAAATATTAATTAAGAATAGAAATAAAGCCAGACCTTTACAGTAGACATAATAAAAATTATCATAATATAGATGAAATCAAGAGGGCTTTTTTTTTTTAACCCACAAATGCATATAGTGAAATTACACACTTATGGACTTAAATACACACAAATGTTTGGCAGGTTTGTCCACATCTCAATATTATTTATTTGGACCGGCCATGGTTTTCTGTGATCTCCAGCAGAAAGAGGCTCCCATCATCCGCACCTGCCCCACTGGATCCTCTTAGCTGAAGATCCCAGGGATGGAGCCCTGGGGTGGGGGAATCTTCTGCATGCAAAGCAAATGCCCCCCCCCCCCAGTATTGACCCCCTAGGCCTGAAGCATATTGTTGCAGCCATAAAAGATTTCCAGTTGTTGGGAATCTCAAGCAGAGAGAGCTCTGCTGCTCTTGCTGCTGCTGCTGCACTCAGTGTGGTGTGGTGGTTAGAGTGTTGGACTAGGACCAGGAGAGACCAGGGTTCAATCCCCACCCCCTCACTGTGGAATGTGATACACATGTAGCAGTCAAGTAAAATATTCCTAGTTTGCCTAGAGTGGACATGCAAAGGGGATGTTTATTCCAGCCAGTCGTAAACTTCCTGTTTCCTCCTGGGCTGGAGCATCCTTCCTCTTGCATGTGACTAGAGGTGGGCATGACCTTACCTGTCTAGGTAACAAAAGGACAAGGCATGCAGCCACATCTCTCTTTCTTCTCTTCTCCATCTTCCTTTCATTGTGTGAACTGCTGTGACTCTCTTTGTAACTAAGTCTACCTTCTGGGATCCAACTCTGAACAGAATGTGAGTAAACTACTTTTATATACCTTACACAAGATTGTGACATGTTTATTCTTTTAAGAGGGGGAAAAGGGATCTTACCAGGAATCTATATTGAGAAGCTTAAACAAGGTTGCAACCAGCTACCCGCTGTGCGTTTAAAAAGGGAAGTTAGGAAGGATATTATTAAACAATATATCCTCTCCTGCCTCCCTGAACATTCCCACACTCACTGCTATGAACCTTGATGGGTGACTTTGGGCCAGTCACTGCCTCTCAGTCTAAGCTACCTTGCAGGGTTGCTGTGGGGATTAAATGAGGAGGCTGGAGACCCATGTATGCCCCCTTGAGCTCCTTGGAGGAAGAAGGTGGGCCATGAATGCAATAAGCAATAATGAATAATCTGGTTGACCAGATGGGCTCCTGGGGCTTGATCCAGCTGTGGCTCTTTCGATGTGTCTCGATGACTCCCTGCAAATGATACGGACCTTGTAAAAAGGCAAGGCCTGCAGGCCAAAGTGGTCCAATGTGCACATCTCATCTGGATCAGGGCGATCTCTCCAAGTTGAGAAGTGGCTGAGCTCCAGAGGATTGCCTGAAGGTGGGTATCTTTGCCTTTTCCTCCCCGTCACACCTGACCCCACAAGTGCGTGTTGCAGACTTTGTGGTTTGCCTGCCAAAGAGTCCCACGGAGGGTTTTGCTGTGGCCGGAAGTCCTTTGCAGCAGTGGCAGCCTCTGGGAGGAGGGAGAAGCATCCTGGCCCCACGGTCAGCCTGACCTTTATAGATCATGTTATGGATTTCCCTTCAGAGGCCTGCAGTTGGCAACGTCCCACCTCATGACTATGCTGGCGCCTCTGCCAGGATGCGAGAGCGTTCAGGCTGAGAACACGGGAAGGAAGCAAGTAATAAAGAAGAGCCCCTCTGGGCATATGCAGAGGGTCTTAAGAGCAGGACCCCATGATGCTCATTTCTCCAAGCTGATTGATGCCCTTGCCTGGTTCCTCCCCCCTCCTGTTTCCTCCCTGAGGCGAGTAAAAAGTGACACGCTAGAATTTTATAAAATTATTCATGGCCTGCGGAGAGAAAAGTCCCCGTCCCCCCATAGCACTAGAACACTTGGGCATCCTATGAAGCTGAATGCTGGAAGAAGGGCCGTCTTGAGCATATCCGGCGCCGTGGTGCAAGGATCCCTCTGGCACCGCGCCCCCCCTGGTTTCCCAGAGTTGCCAACCTTTTTTAGGGAGGATGGCGCTGCTGGCGATGGGCTTTGCGGGGCTGGAGGAGGCGGGCAGTGGCTGGAGGGCAGCTTCTCCGGCGGGGAAGAGGTGGAGGCTGGATGCGGCAGCTTCTGGCTCATCTGGCCGCTTTGTGTCATGGTGGCCATGGGCAGTGGAGGCTCCGGGCACAGTGCTGCTTCGGCGCAGCATGGCTGAGGCGGGCGAGGATGGTGAGCTGATGCCGGGAGGCGCCGTGTCCATCCTCCGCCTCTTCCCTGGTGCCCTGCGCCACTAGCCTCTATGGATAAGATGTCCCTGGCTGGAAAATAAAAGAAAGGACTTATTCACACAGCACGTAGTTAAACTATGGAACTGCCTGCCACAGGACGCAGTAATGGCCACCAATCTAGATGGCTGGAAAAGGGGGTTAGACAAATTCACGGAGGAAAGGCTATTGATGGCTACCAGCCAGGATGTTTATCCTCTGACACCACAGATGGAGGTGGAAATGTTTCCAGATACCAGTTGATGGAAACCGTGGGAGGGGAGAAGACTCTTGTACTCAAATCCTGTTGGCCGGTTTCCCTTTGGGGCAGCCTGTATCCATTTTATCCTACTCTGTGGAGTAAGTTAGACTGAGAGGGAGTGACCGACACAAAGTGAGCGTCATAGCTGAAGAGGACCAAGGCCCCTCCATCTTCAGTCTGACACTCTCTCACCAGGACACCGAGACTGGTTCTCACACCTGTTCAGAGTCACCTGAGGGACCAACGAGTCTCAGGAGCCCTTGGTTACCACGGAACTGCACTCTTTCTGGCCTAAATGAGGGGCAGTGGCTCAGAGGAGGACACGCCCTTCACGATTTACTTTTATTTAAAAAAACCTCCAGCTCCAGGAAGGATAAAAATAAGCAACAAGCAATAAATAGCAGAGGTTCAAAACTATGGGTAAGCAAACTAAGGCCCGGGGGCCAGATGTGGCCCAATCGCCTTCTAAATCCGGCCTGTGGACGGTCCAGGAATCAGCGTGTTTTTACATGAGTAGAATGTGTCCTTTTATTTAAAATGCATCTCTGGGTTATTTGTGGGGCATAGGAATTCGTTCATATTTTTTCCCCAATATCTAGTCCGGCCCCCCACAAGGTCTGAGGGACAGTGGACCAGCCCCTTGCTGAAAAAGTTTGCTGACCCCTGCAAAACCCAATGGGATTCTCCTGCTTCATTTTGGCTTCTCCAGGAGCTGTCCAGTGAGTCAGAGTTCAGGAGATGCTGGTGAGCCGGGAGCTGTCCAACAAGGGGGCTGAGTCTCCCTTTGGGGCTGGCCTGGACGACTCAGGAGGATAACTGGTCTACACTGACTCCCCTGGGACCTCCTCACAAACACACATGCTTAGAGGTGAATTTTTGTGTCAACTAATTCTTTTAACAGTCATTTAGTAATGATGAAATTGGACAAATGCGGGACAGCAGTTGCTGGAAGCCACCAGACAGGAGAAGGCTCTGGTGCTTGAATCCTGTTTGCGGGTTTCTCTTTGAGGCATCCAGTTGACCACTGTTAGAACAGGATGTTGGACTAAATGGGCATTGACCTGATCCAGGTATGAGACTCTTCTTATGCGCTCAAATAGATTTCTGGGGGATGCAAAAGTGGCCAATGGGCTTAGACAGAAAAAGCCTGTTTTGCTCCTTCCAAATTATTGGCCTGCAGGCCGGATCTGGATTTGTAAACTTGGGGGCTTCTCCTCCTTCTTCTTCTTTATTAGTCCAGTGCTCAGTTGCAGACACTGTAGGATGAATTATTATTGATTATTATCCTGCAAGGTAGGGCAGGCAAAGAGATGTTTGCTCATGCCGGTTTAGAAACCGGCAGAGCCGAGTTGCACAGGGAGGAGGGGAGGCAGAAACAAAAGGGTTCATAGAATCACAGACTCACAGAAATGTAGAGTTGGAAAGGGACCACGAGGGTCATCTGGTCTGACCTGCTGCAATGCAGGAATATTGTGCCCAATGTGGGGCTTGAACCCACAACCCTGAGATTAAGAACCTTAAGCTCTACCACCTGAGCTATGGTATCTGAGCCATGGGTTGTGCATCAGCCTTAAAGTGTGGTGAGGGAACTTCTGCTGGTGCAATAAAAGCATGGGGGGAGGGGTGATGAGGCTCCAAGTCCTAAATTAAAGTGATCTTCAGCTCATGTGTAAAAATACTTTTTCTTCTTGTTGCGCCAGAGTAGACCTGTCTTGATTGGCAACCCCACCAGAGATTGAAATGCGGAGCCTTGACCTTCTCTGTTAAGGGGTTCAGTTTTAAGCATCAAAACACACCCACCCACCCACCCCCTACTTTCAGCAGCCAGAAACACCATAACCAGACACTGGAGAGACCTGTCAGGAGTAAGCATGGACCAATGGTACCAAATAGTATGGGAAACAGCCCTACTAGAAAAATTAACCAATAAACTGAAACTGACACGGGGACAAACAGAAGAAGAAGCTTTTACCCCGGTATGGCTCCCCTTTATCACATATACAGCCCAACAAGACAATGACAATAATCCACCAACAGCATACAAATCAATATGGCTAACCTGATCCAAAACACCCACCCACCCCACTCACACACGAAAACAAAGATCACCACAGCCAATCACAAACAAACAACCACACCCTAGGCCAACTCCAACCTCTCTCACCACCAAAGGAACACAAATGAACAGCACAAGCAACGCTGACACCAAACCCTACATACATTAAGCAAAACAGAAACATCGCCACCCCACCCCACCCCACCTCCACCCATCTTCTCCACCCCTTTCCCCCCCCCTAATGTCTCAACAAATGAAACTGATTTGTAAAAATGTTACATGGAAAAAATATGAGAGACATTACACATACTTCTGTAAAACAATAAAATCTTTAATAAAACGCGCACGCACACACACACACACACACACACACACACACACCCTGTTCCGCTATACAGCCCTACACAGTCAGGGCTGGCACCTTGTGGCTACAGGAGGGTCCACTCAAAGGGGCTTCGTTTGGTTTGCATCTTAACTTCCCCAAGGATTGAAATAGCTATCCTTTTGAAATCTGCACTTCTCCAAATGTTGGAGTGCAGTTTACCAAACCAATGTCTATGAAAATGCATAGAATGGTGGAAATGACATTTGCAAATGCATTTGAACTGAGGGGCAATTGCATGCAAATGTGTGTATCTTAAGGGAAATGCACACAAAATGCAGATAATTTTTAATGATTATTTTTTAAAGAAATAAATTCACGAGAGCTTAAAATAAAAATACAGATACAGAAATGTGAAGAACTGAAGACTGGAGAAAGGTGACCACCCCCAGGCCGGAGCGAGAGGAGCCAGAGAGAGATGTTTGCCTCTTGCTTCTTTCCCAGACTTGGAGAGCAGGGTTACTGCTCAGGTTTCAGACTCAGGACCCTGTTCTGTCCCTCTGGGCTGCAGCTGGGTAATGCATTACCTGTGCCTTTTTATTTATGAACTCGCCAGCTCAAAAGCCCTCGGCTGCTTTTGAAACTGAAGCTCAGGTTTTTAAGGCTGCTTGTTGGTGTGGAAATATTACAAAGTGAGGGTATACGAAGGAATATGTCTGACTTGGGGCATCAGCAGAAAAAGAAGAGATAATTGTCTTTGGGCGGCAGGAGAAAGCTATATGTTTATTTCATTTATTTGCCATATCGCTATATGCCACCCTTTATCAAGGTAGCTGCCAGGGCAGTTTGCTAAAAGTAAATACACAACATCCACCCCACAGCTCACCAGGGGGCGCTCTCTATCCTGAATGAGGGAAATTGGATCTATGATGTGAATGGAAAGGTGACCTGGTTCAAAGAGGCGTCTCTGTCACAGACTTACTGTGTCTTCTATGGCATGTCTCCTTGGTTGGCCCTGGTTTTCTGTCTAAGAATGACCAGGGTGCGTTGGCAGGAAATCTCCCCTGGTTGCCCTCCAGCCTCACCTCCCTGCAAGAACAAACTCTTCCTAGGGGCAGTTAAGCTTGCCCCACTTCTGCCAAGCTTTAGATGGGCAGTGAAAGCATCTCTGTTTCCTCTGCCTGCTGTCCTGGTTTTATTCTGTTATTAATGGTACTAGTCTGTTATTAATTGGTGTTTTTTATAATTAACAATTTGTTCTTAATTCTTTCTGTGGGCAGAAAGGCAATCCCTAAATGCATTTTAATAAACATTTTTTAAAGTGCTTTTAAGGGGGGGAAATCTTCTTACTGGATTACTGCAATGTGCTCTTAAGGTTTGTTTGGAAGCTGCAGCGAGTGCAGAATGCAGATGCTACGATGCCTAGCAGTGCATCTGACTGCCGATATTAGTGGTGGGGAATTTCTAGCCAACGTCCTAACTTGGACCACGAAGCTGTGTTATTATTACTATTTTAACTTATATACTGCTTATGTGCCAAAACAGCTGCTAAGTGGTTTAAAACGATAACATCAATCCATAATTAAAATACACAATAACGTTAAAACATGCTTAATGAAAATATACAAGAAAGCAAACAGTTACAAAGCACAGCAATTAAAACAGTTCAAAAGCAGCTGAAGCAATAAGACCACCAGTTCAGGGGAATGCTTGCTTAAAGGAGTGTTTCTTCAGGAACTGGTGTCAGAATGCCTCTGATGGGGCCTCTGGTATTTCAGCAGGGACAGCATTCCACAGCACTGGCCCCACCAGTGAAAAAGCCCACCTCTGTGTTACCATGTCAGGAGTAAGCCAGCAGTAAATCACACCGTGCAAGTTGGCGTTAACCCTTTATTAGCAAACACACAATCTGCACAGACTTGGCAGGCCTAGTGAGCACAGCAACTCATTTCTGGTAGGTCTTGCCCCCATGAAGCTGAGATTGAAGGTCCCTGCCTCCCCACAGCTGCCTATGTCTCCTCCTCTCCAGGGTTTCTCCCTGAGACTGTGTCTGCATGCAGCTTTTGTGTGGAGTGTGTGAGCCTCCCAGGATATGGCAGGTTGGTTCCTTGGGAAATCTGGCTCAAGGGATGCTGCCTCTGGGGTCCTCTAGTTTGGCGGCCTCTGAGTTAACACAAAGGAGACATAACTCAATGGATTTGGGTCCAGCTCAGTTGCTGAGTCCAGCACCTCCCTGGTTTGCACTGTTGACCCTCCAGATCCCGCCAGTTCCTCTACCTTCCATGTCAGAAGCTGACATCCTGGCCATTCAGGATCAGGGTCAAGACATCCAGTGGGATCCCTGCCAAAGGGTGCACACCTTTTCCCAACCCCTTCAGCTGTCCCAAGAAGATAAGAGGACCTGTGGCATCACAATCTCCTGAGGGGGCCTGATGGAACCAACAGGTCTGGGTGCTGCGACTGGCAGCAGAGGACCTCTTGGTAGTTTCTCCACCCTCAAAAGTTCACAATGGCGATGGTCTGGGAGAGGGCCTTCTCTGTGATGGCCCCTAAGGTGTGGAGCTCCCTCCTCACAAAAGGTGCATCTGGAATTACAGATACTGAGATTCCAAAGCATCAGAAATGATTGTTTATGTATGCGACAACAGCCACATGGATTCTAATGGCCCAGAGATGGAAGGAAGAGTCAACCCCGACCAGAGAAGAATGGCAAATCAAGATGATGGATTATGCTGAAATGGCAAAATTAACTGGGAAGCTCAGAAACCAAGAAGACAAGAACTTTAAAAAACAATAGGAAAAATTATAATTTATATACGGGACCACTGCAAGCAGGTTAAAACATTGGCAGGATTTTAACCACACTTGTAATGTAACGGAAACTATGGACAATTCAGAAGGATAAATATTTGGATAAATATTGATATGCGGTTGTAATTATTTTCATTAGGACCCATGGAAGGGATGGGGGAAGTCAGGAGATTCAGAGTAATCTCAGTATTTGGATTTTGAATTGTTTGTTGTATGTATGTGTAATATATATATATACAGTATAACTATATATAACTATATAACTATATATATATATATATATATATATATATATATATATATATATATATGGTGCATCTGGCACCTTCATTATACAACATCCAGAGATTTCTGAAGCCATACCTCTTTACCTGAGCTTTAGACACGAGGTGTGTCTTTTTAGGACTCACCTTATTTTTTATGACTGTAAATTGTTTTACATTGTTTTTAATATTGTGCTCAAAGCGGTTCACAGGCCAGACAGCTGAAGCAGAGCAGCCATTATGGATAAGTATACTGAACTGCAATAATCTGCTATTGACATTTCAACCATCTCAATTCATTGAAAGCGCATCAGAAGCTTCAGTGAGCATGAAACATGCCAAGAGGTCAGCCAACAATATCCAGTGCCCATCACGCCTACATTACACCCACGTGGAGCCATCCATTTGGCAGCCCAAGTTAAGGGACCCCGCCACAATACAGCCTTTGGCCACATCAATCTCAGAGCCCACTGAGCTCCTCCTGGCTGCACTCTCCAGCCAAACTCCACACAAGCCACTCTATATGAACACAGCTAAAATGTCTAAGTAAAAGCCCCACTTTCGCCTTGATGGGACGCACACAGCACTCATTGGGACCCCAAAAGAAAAGCCTGAGAACGACAGCAACCTTCAGGGCACGCACTCACAACAGAAAGAGACGCCACCTCTGAGCCAAGAAAGGGCACCCTGTAGGCAGGTTGGGGAAAGCCTCAACCCACCCCCCAGGAATCGCTCCTCATATTGGGGTGCAGTGCTAAAAGCAGCAAAGCCACTTTTGCACACCCCAAGGCAGCTGGTCTTAGAAGAACCTCAGGTGGCCCTCCAGGTCTCTTTTCCTGGACCCTGGCAGAATCTGGCAGGGGCTAGGTCACTCCTTGGCCCTGTTCTTCCTCCTCCTCCTCCTCCTCCTGTGCTTTTTTACCTGACCAGGATGTGTTCTTGAACTTTGGTGATGGATGGAGGATGGAGAAGGGGTGTGTGTCTGTCTGATCACACATATTTTTGCCACACCTGTGGCCCCTAGGATTGTGCATGATGAGGGAATGTGGCCCTTGCAATGGAAAACTGTGCCTATCCCTCCCTGTCTTCAGAAAAAGACAATCGTTTCACGGCAGAGCCTTGCAGCTGGACCAGGCTGGGGTCCAGAACTGACCTGCCCTCCAAGGTCCACTTTGGCAGGTTTGTAGGACCACCCACCTGCCAGCCATCTGGCACCATCTGGCACCAGGTGTTTTGACTCTACAGCAGAGCACTCTGGGGGGGTTCCTGGTGCTTCCTTGCCAGTTTGGATTAGGCACCCTTGTCAAACATGGCACCCCCCTTTTTTGCCTGCTTTGCTGAGTGGCAGGGAAAGGTGCCAAATTCAAAAAAGCAGAATCTGGAAAGGCAAAATTAGGAATGTGCTCCCATTTCTTCATTGGGAATTGGTGCCCACAGAAGTGGTCAAGCAGCTGCTTGGAGTGAATTTTTTGGGGTGGGTAAGATCTCGTTTGCCTTCCCAAACATTCTTAGAATTTCACTCCCTGAATGCCGCCCTCCCAGGCCCGTCTGGCGCTTAATATTGCTGCAATGTTTTTACTACCTTCATTTTACTAGATTTGTTTTTAATATTGTTTTACTTCTATTATAGTTTACTTTTTAACTATTGTCTTTTATGTTCTTTTTTTAGCTTTCTGGGTTTTATTCATGTTTCTTTCCATTTCTGTGTGCCGCCTTGATTCCCCATTTGGGGAACAGACAGGATAAAAAAAAAAAACTTCTATTCACGTTTTTTTGCTGGGCACAAATTGCCGCACAGAATAATGGTGATGATGATGTATATACCACCTTTGGGATTGAAAACGTCTTGCCGCATTTAAAAACAACATTATAAAATACGAAGGAGGTAAAAACGAGCTTGTTAAAAACAATAATTAAAATGCAGGTTACATTTAGAACCAGCAACTGAAATACAAGAGCGGAAAGTCATCCTCATTTATTTCAGGCTCCTCCTTCGTAAGAACCCGGACCCCGGCAGTGGAATCCTGTCCAGAGAGAGACGGCAGACCTTGCTGGGAGCGAGTCGCCTCTGGCGCTCTCCAGGGTCCTGTAACTCCAGCCTGAGCGGTCTTTCTGCCAACGGACTGATTCAGCCGCTCTCAGACACCCACCATTGTGCCTTGGCTTGCGGTCAGGTCAGGACCCTGGACAGCTACGGACGGTGCCGCTGGATCCCTGCTGCTCCTCTCTGGCGGTGGTGCTGCTGCGGAGCTGAGCCCTGCAAGGTCTATTCTGTCCCCCACCAGCATGGTTTTGAATATCAACAGCCCACTTTATGGTTGTACATATATTTATATCTTGCCTTTCCTGATAACTCCTTGCCTGGGGCATGCAGAGTAGGATCTCCCCTCTGCTCTCCACGGAGCTGTCCTATGAGTACCAGAGCCTTGCTGGAGTTGGACCCAGCGGTGCCCTCCTAGTGGCACAGTCACCCGTTTTCAGAACTGGCCAGCTCGACCCCTCCAGGAAAACCACCCAAAGGGGCCTGAAGGAGGCAAAGAGAACGGAAGAGGATGGAAGCTTGGTCCAAGAAAAGCTCATGCAATTCTGGACTGCATCAAGAGACGTCTGCTGTTCAGATCAAGGGAAGTCATAGCGCTGCTCTATTCTGCCTTGCTCAGACCCCACCTGGAGTCCTGTGTCCAGATCTGGGTGCAGCAGTTTAAGGATGATAATGACAAGCTGGGAGGTGTGCAGAAGGGGGTGACCAAGATGATCAAGGGTCTGGAAACCAAGCCTTATGAGGAATGGTTGAGGCATTGGGGATGTTCAGCCTGGTAAGGAGACTGAGAGGAGATATGATAGCCATCTTCTAGTATCTAAAGGGCTGACACATGGAAGATGGAGCAAGCTTGTTTTCTTCTGCTCCAGAGGGTAGGACTCGAACCAATAGATTCAAATATCAAGCAAGGGGATTGTAACTAAACATCTGGTGGTAAGAGTTGTTCAACGCTGGAACAGACTCCATCGGAAGGTGGTGAACTCTCCTCCATTGAAAGTTGTAAAGCAGAGGTTAGATGGCGATCTGTCAGCAATTCTCGAACTGTGATTCCTGCACCGCAGGGGGTTGAATTGAATGACCCTTGTGGTCCCTTCCAACTCTTCAGTTCTATGATTCAATGATGTGGGGGAGGGCAAACCTTTGGGTTAGTCGAGCCTTTGATCTTTAATCATTTGAAGAGTCTCTGGATTACATATCTCATTTCTGCTCCTGTCCAGATTGGATTACAGGATAAATTGTGTGTCCTTCCTGTTTATTGTGTTCAGGATGGTTTGTTTTTTATCATCATTTTATTGTTTTCTGCTCTGAGAACTGTTTTTCTGCTCCTGAAAACCAGATGATAAAAAAATGGAAATAAACAAAATAAAAGATTTTAATTAGATAAAGATTGCCTTGGGGAGAATGGATGGTTTGCTTGCATGGTCTGTTGAGGTGTGTGCAGTTCAGGGGGTAGCTTAAACAATTAGCCATTGAGCGAAAATGGATTTCTAAAAAGTAAATAGGTGTAGCAAGAGGATCAGGACCATAGCTAGGGTGGCAGAGATGGCTACTGCTATGGCTCCAATCTGAATTCCCCTCATGCTTCTCACTTGCATTAGAAGGAAATCTTCCTTTGCCCTCAACAGGAATTCTCCTCTCAAAGCAAATGACAGACACTGAGGAATCCACAGCAGAAGCCAAAGATTAAAGCCCCCACTCACCCCATGTCAGGGACTTGATCCAAATTGAGGGCTCTGAATCTGCCATTTACTTTTAAAACAAGCACCATCTTTGCAATTGCTAATTGTGCAGGTGGCCTCGTGCCTGGTCTGGGTGTGAAATGTCATCTTCTAGGTGAGATCTTTCTAGTCCTGCAGCGACAGGGGAGCAGAAAATGTGGTGGATTTTTCTGGCAGGAAAGTCCTGAAAGCTTTGGACATGTAGTTGGTTCACGGTGACATCACCCTCACCATCATACAAATCCAGGAAATGTTTAAATATTTAAGATTCCCAATTCTGAAGCATGTTTGATTGGAGCAGCCTCAGAGAGGTGTGCAAGGAACTCTTGGGATAACGTGAGAGTATTCTCGATCTTGGGATGACTGAGCAACTGGGCTTTTGCCAGTCTCATTTTAATAAACACATATCACTCTCCATCCTGTTCAGGCTTAGGAAGAAATAAAACTCCATTCTAGCATTTGATATAGGACCAGGGGCTGTACTCTGAGAAACATTACCCAGAGCAAAGACCCCTCACCCCAATTTCAAGGCAGAATTGGGGATACCGTATTTTTCGCTCTATAACACGCACCCGACCATAACACGCACATAGTTTTTAGAGGAGGAAAATCCGTAGGCATGCCACCCGTAGGCATTCCCTCCATAACACGCACAGACATTTCCCCTTACTTTTTAGGAGGAAAAAAGTGAGTGTTATGGTGCAAAAAATACGGTACATCTATGAAGGTGCAGGATATCCTGTGGCTGAGGGTCCTAACAGAGTCTTTGCTGGATAGCTCAGTTGGTTAGAGCATGGTGCTGCTAATGCCAAGGTTGCAGGTTAAATTCCCATAAGGGACGGCTGCATACTTCTGCACTGCAAAGGGTTGGACCTCAGGGTCCCTTCCAACTCTATGATTCTATTCTATTCTATTCTATTCTATTCTATTCTATTCTATTCTATTCTATTCTATTCTATTAAGGTTCTGGAAGTGCTGGCTGGGGCTGATGGGAATTGTAGTCCAAAACATCCAGATGACACCCACATCTCTTCTTCCCACCCATTTGGAGGGGTGTCATGGGATGTTCTTGCAGCTTGAGACAGGAAATTTGCTGATGTGGACTGACACCCAGTAAAGCTTCCTTTTGGGTGGGGATGTTTGGCTGGCAATCAGGCTCGCAACACTCAAAGCTCAAAAGCCACCCCCCATAACCCCACCACACCATCATTGGCAACAAGTGGCTTGGCTCACTTCCTTGAGCCACCTGCAATATTGCTGGCCCCATTCTGAGGCTCACCTGTTTGCTGAGGATGTGTGATGAGCAGCTGATGGACAGGTGGCCAGCCCTGCCATTTGGACAAGGGGCTCAGCGAGTCTTTAAGATATGCCACCTGGGGAAGCTACTCAAACCTTGATTTGGCTGTGGCAGGATGGGAGAACTTAACGGGTCTGGGGCAGCTTCTTGCTTCAAAGATGCCACTATATCAACCTGGCACAGAGCAAGCTTCTAAACACACACACACACGCACACACAAGCAATTTCTTCCAGCTCCCATTGTCCTTTCCCTTTCAGTCCTGTACCGGCTCCCCCTCCCCCCTTTCCAATCATCTCCTGCCACTGTCAGCTGTTGGCTGGGCTCCCAGGGATCAATATTGCATTAGCCCTCCATGCTGCATTCATGCAAATGACAACTGAGCTGGTCAGCCTGTCCAGGCAGGCGGCAGATTGTGGTGAGATTTTAGGGAGGGGGCACCAAGGCAGCAAGGCAAGAGCAATGTGGAGAAGAGGGCTATTGATGGTTAGTAGCCATGATGGCCATTCTCTGCCTTCAATGCTTCTGAATAACACTTGCTGGAAACCAACACAGGGGAGAGGGCTCTTGTGCTCGAATCCTGCTTGTGTGTAGGCTTCCCCCTGGGGCATCTGATGGGCCCTGTGAGAACAGGGTGCCGGACTAGATGAGCCACTGGCCTGATCTGAATTTAAGGCTCTCCTGAGGTTCATCCTCCATCGTCAGAGGCAGCATACTTCTGAGTCCCAGTTGTTGGAAGCTAGAAGATGGGAGAGTTGCTCTCGTGCTCGGGTTGAGCATGCATCTAGGATGCTGGACTAGACGGGGCCTCCTGTGGCCTGATTCATCTGGGCTCTTCTTAGGTTCTTAGGTTCTGTGTCGTGTGTTATATGCCAGTTGTGGGCTGGGCCAGAGGCAGAAGGAACTTGCCTTGGGGAACAGTGGTTCTTATGGTATGAACCCAAGACTGCAGGAGATGAAAAGAGGCCCCTTGTTTAGTCTGACACTCTAACCCAGGGATCAGCAAACGTTTTCAGCAGGGGACGGTCCACTGTCCCTCAGACCTTGTGGGGGGCCGGACTATATTTTGGGGGGGAAATATATGAACGAATTCCTATGCCCAACAAATAACCCAGAGATGCATTTTAAATAAAAGGACACATTCTACTAATGTAAAAACACGCTGATTCCCGGACCGTGCACGGGCCAGATTGAGAAGGCGATTGGGCTGGATCCGACCCCCAGGCCTTAGTTTGCCTACCCATGCTCTAACCAGTACACCACGCTGGCCGCTGGCTCATAATGAATAAATAAACTCTGTCTTTTGCCTCCCGGAGGTATTTTTAAAATGTGTTTTTAAACGTGTCCTTTATTTATGCACCCCCCACCCCATAGCACACCCCAGCCCACATTTTTATACCTTACTGCAATGGACGACCTTGGAAGATAGTGAATTCTCCTTCCTTGGAGGTTTTTAAGGAGAGGCTGGGTGGCCATCTGTCAGGGATGCTTTACCTGAGATTCCTGCGTTGCTGGGGGTTGGGCTAGAGGACCTTTGGGGTTCCTTCCAACTCTATGATTCAATGATGGGCATTCAGATTTAGGACATTTTAAATGGGAAAGAGACAGACCTAAGCCAAGGATCCTTCCAGCATCTAAGTTTTGTTAAACAGCTGGCATGGGTAAGATCCACCAGGCAGCTAAAGCTTGGTGCTCAAGTCCAGCTTTCTAATTTGAGGTATTTATTCAATAACTCAAGAGTAAAATGAAGGAGATAAATATGAGTTTGCTTTGAAATGAAAGATAAAGTGGTATTGTCTAACTAATCCCCACACTTGAAATAGAACTTGAAATCAGTTGCAGGAACTTACATAACAGAGAAATTTCCTTCATCCTCCCAGGTACCAGGGTTCTGTTCTGGAAGGGACCAGGCAAAGTTTCCCCAGGAAAGTAGGGAAATGGAGGGGGCAGAAGCTAGTAAAAGGGGGTATGAGATGTCTACCCTTGGAGGAAGGAGGAGGAAGAGAGGTGGTGTAAATGGAAAAGAACACCCCACCCCCCACCCCATCCCCGCCGTCCTTGAGTTTTCGTCAGAGAAGAGACAAACGCCACCTTGTGTATTGGTGAAGGGGCTAGCTGGGGCTCAACATTTTGCACTGATTCTTGGGGAAGGGGGCTGCTGCTCAGAGGCAGAACACCTGCTTCACATGCAGAAGGTCCCAGGTTCAATCCCTGGAATCTCCAAGAGTGGCTGAGAACGTCCCCTGCCTGGGGGAAAAAAGACAGTCATTGTAGACAATGCAATGAACTATAGGGACCAGGATGTGGACACAAGGAGAGCCCTGATGGATCCGGTCAGTGGCCCATCATCTTGTTCTCCAGTGGCCAACCAGTTGTCTCAATGGTAAGCCCCCAGGCAGGACCCGAGCACAAGAGCCCTCTCCCCTCCCATGTCTTCCAGCAAGTGGTCTTCAGAAGCATTGCTGACTCCCACCATGCAGGCAGAGCACAACCATCATAGCTGGGAGTCCTCCATGAATCTGTCTAAGGCAGCTTCCTCCTTTCCTGACTGAGGTGTCCTCCTGTCCCTTTTGGGGTGCTCAGCAGCTTTATCATTGCAGCTTTGACTCGTGTGGATTAGCCAAGGATGCTTTGCTCCTTCCTGTGGGAGGAGCCAGAGGCAATGACAGACAGATCCAGCTTATTATAGTTTTGTCCAGCCCCTCTCCTCTTGCTGAGTTCTGCAAGGACAATACTAAGACTGTGCAGAGGTTGGATGAGCATTTGTCATGTATGATTTAATTGATTTTCCTGCATTGCAAGGGGTTGAACTAGATGATCCTTGGAGCCCCTTCCAACTTTATGATTCTATGACAAGGAGGAGGAGGAGGAGGAAGCAGCAGCAGCAGCTAGCTGGGTTTCCCACCCCTTGAGCTGGTTGTATGAAAGAAGGCAGGCAGGTGGGGGATGGCTAAGGGCAGGCTGAGGTTGGTCCTGCCAAATAAACATTTAAGAGCTGCGCCTGTGAAGATCTCCTGTTCTGTGGAAATCCCACTGCAAGAGAGCTTGTCAGGCTGGAAATGGAGAAGCCAATGTTTAATCTGTGCCAAGGGATCGGTTCCAAAAGGAAACGGCAGGAAGAAAGTCAGTGCAGTGTGTTCGTCAGCATGTTGGGCTGGGACCAGCGAGATCCAGGTTCATGTGGCCGTGGGTGACCTTGGGCCAGTCCCTCTTTAAAGAGGAAGAGCCCTTGCTCAGTGGAGGAGCACTTGCCCCAGGTACAATCCCTGCTGGCATTTTCAGGAAGGACAGAAAATGCCCCCTGCTCATCACCCTACTGAGCTAGGCAGAACAATGCCTTGACTCTAAAGATAGCAAGTTCCTATGCTTGGCCTAGTCACCGGAGGCGAGTTACAGTGTCTTCTAGGCGATCAGGAGAGACTCAGCTGGGTGACATCACTTGGAGCAGAACCAGCAAGCCGGAGGAGGAGGGGACCCCACCAGAGGACACACTGCCTAGCTAGGGACTCCTCAAATCCAGCGCTCACCCTGAACCTCAGCCTGTTGGTGGGGGCATTACTGAGCTGTGCGACTAACGTTGTGAAGTAAAAAAATGCAGCTTCCTGCTCCCTTCTCTGTCTCTCTGGCCTACCTTGCAGGCTTCTTGGGAAGATGAAATTGGTGTGTGTGTGTGTGTGTGTGTAGGTGGTGACAGGGAGAGGGGAGAAACCATGTATGCTGCCCATGCTGCTCCTTGGAACAAGGTGACCAGTATGATAAATTGGCAAAATAAATAATAAGAGTTTTTGACAACGAACAAAGGATGCCTCTGAGCAGATGTTGTGTTTTATGCTTTTAAATTTCAGACGATAATGACATTGGTATGTTGGAACCTGCTTTGTGGATGATGAAAAGGGAGGGGTCCGAAAGTCTACTCAGTAAACAAATGGACCTATTTCTGTCGAGTCCCCCCGCCCGCACTGGGGCTTCTAGGGGGGGAAAGGTCGTGACCCCCAGCCAGGACTTGAGAACCCCTAGAGCTTGGGCAGGGAAGCCAAAACAGTCTCGCTCTCAGCCAGCTACCCAGCGTCCCCCCCCCTTCCAAGGAGCAGCAGCCTCGGTGGCTGCTGCATTCATTGTTCACCTTCGTCTCCCGCCCCCCCCATCTGAAAGGCGGAGCCCTGTGGGCGGGGGAGGAAGAGGAGGAGGCTGAATTGCGCGGGTGTCCCTCCCGGGTGGGGTGCAGGAGACCCGGGGCCCCGGCCTGGTCCCCCGCTTGGTTGGCAGAGAGGGAGGGCGCGAGGGAGGGGCCGAGCCGGGGCGGCGCTTGGAGGAGGCGGAGGCGGGAGGAGGTGGCGGAGCCTCCGCTGCTGCTGCCGCTGCCGCCGCCGCTCCCGGACCCTCCTGCATCCCCGCCTCGCGCATCTTCTCCTGCATCTTCTCCTGCATCTTCTCCATCCTCCTCGGGCATCTCCTCCTGAGCATCCCTCGGCCCCAGGAGGAGGCGGGCGAAGGCAGGACCAGCCCCGGCCATTGTCTTTGGCCGCCGCCGCCGCATCGCCTCCCGCCCTCCCTCCCGCCAGCAGGTACCCCGAGGCTGCGCCCTTGCGGTGGGGGGAGGAGGGAGGGAGAAGCGGGGTGGGGTTCCCTCGCAGCCTATGGCGCTGTGGGGAGGGGAGGGAGAGGCCCCCCCCTCTTTGGACAGGGTGTGGGCTGGGGCCAAGGCGGCGTCCAGGATACCCCCCCCACAAACACACACACCTCGTTGGTGCCAAGTCTGGGGGAAGGGAGTGGGGCTGCGGTACCAGCTCAATGGGGGGGGTCCTCGCCCAGCTTTCTCTTTGGACTGGAGGTGTGGGGCTGCGTGTATGTGCGGGGGGGATGATCTTGCTAAGACGAGGGTTGGAGGAGCAGAGGAGGCGAGCCGGGGACATTGGGGCGGCCGCGGGGAGGGGGCGCTGGTCGCGGAGTGTCGCCCTTTCCCCAAACCTCGCCTCGACGCGCGTCTCTCGCCATAGATAACCCCGGGGAGGGCGGCTGCCTGGGAGGTGGGGAGGAAGAGTGCTTGTTGTCCATCACGCCGCCTCCTTATCTCCCAAGGTTGAGGTTATCTGTCGGCTGCCGCCAGTTTGCGGGGCTTGACATCTGAGATGCCCCGGTGGGGTTTTTGTTGTTGTTGTTGTTGTTGTTGTTGTTGTTGTTGTTGTATGGTGATGATGCCCTTTGGACGGTCCTTCCTCTGCAAGCCGCTCCTCTCCCCATCCTCCAATTCCACCCAGATATTCGGGTTTTCCACTTCCAAAGTCTGGGGCTGTATCCTGTTGGTGCAAATAAAATATTCTCAGATCTCGGATGCCTGGAGGTTGGTTTGGGCACTGTTAGCATGCCTCCTCCTCCTCCTCCTCTTCCTCCTCCTCCTCCCACCGAAACTCCGAATTCTGAGATCTGGGCAGCGGCGGCGGCGATATTATTCGATGGCAGCAGCAAATCTGCAATCCCCGTTTAGCTCTGCTTCATTATTTACTCGCCGCCAGTGAGCTGAGCCTGCCTCAGCCTGGAGAGCCTTTGTTAGCAAGTATTAATATTTGGTGTTGAAAATCAGCTTTGCCCCCCGCCCCGGGGCAGAGGCAGCTGGCATCTTGGCGTTTCTTTTGCCTTGGAAAGGATGCCGAGAGGCATTTTGTGGGCGCTTTTCCCCTGCAGGGCGACAAGGCTCCCTTTCTGACACCACCGTGTTGTGTGTGTGCAGAGGAGCCTTGCTAAACGAGTGTAATGTGCTGTCTAGCGGGTGGGGGGGGGTAGGGAAGGCTCCGAGGATCAATGAAAAATGGTCTTCTCGTGGTGCTTGCCGAAGTATCCCCCGGCTTCAAGGCGCTGGGTTGTGTAGTGTGTGGAAGGATCTCAACACCCTCAGATTGCTCTGCTTACAACCCTCTTTCCACCCCCATTCCCAGCTCCACGTATGTCTGGCACCCTCTCTATCTGTGCTTTGCAGGAGTGGTCTTCTATCGGGGTGTGCGCGAGGCAATGTTGGTGGGGGGCTTGCGTGGCGGTGGGGTGGGAAGCTAAAAGGAGGCGTTGTGTGCAGAAACCATCCTTTCCCCAACACACAGAGAAATGGATCCCTGCAAAACAGCCCCTGCACAAGCCTTTGTCATGCGGCGTGAAGCTCCCTCCCTCTCTTATGGCGAGGGGGGTTTTGAGGGAAAGGGGGCTGCTTGCAAAGAAGGGGGGGTCATTGGCTCCTTTGGGAAGGGCTGGGGTTGGGAGAGAAGCGGGGGCTTTGAGAACAGGTCCTGCCTTAGCCCCCGCCAAAGGAGGATTGTCTGGCTGGTCCTTCTCCCTTGGCGTGTTGCAGACATTTATATTATTAATTTGGTATTGTGGATTACCTCTCTCTTGTGTGCTGCTGCCCCCCAATCAGATCCTACCACAACATCAATGGCAATATCATGTCCGAATTTAAGGGGGAGGACATTTCAGGAGAGAGAGATTGGCAAAGAGTGTCACAGTTGCCTTGAATAAACACACACACATATACACACAATTTTTTATAAAATCTGCTGGCGATTTGCTTTTATTCACAAGGGTCTTTTCTTTAGGATTAAAAGAAGAAGGAGAAGCTCAGAAATCCCCACCTCCCTCCTTGCAAATAAATAAAACCGCCACATGATTCTCTCTCTGGGAAAATCAGCTCCCTCCAAAGGGGAAAGCCATCATATTCAATGGTGCTAATTAATTTTTATTAAGAAACCAAAGGGATATTTGTTAGCCCAAGAAAAATCTTTGAGCTGCACCAGCTTCCAGTCAGAGAGGAGAGGAGAGAAGCATGACAAATATGTTTTCCAGAGGAGCACCAGGAAGAAAAATGACACAACCAGGAGGAGGAGGAGGGCGGAGGGCAGGTACTTACAGCGGCTCAGGTGTGGGGCTCTCCTTCGAGCACACCTGATGCTGCAGCCTCAGCGCTTTGGCCCCAGGGATGGTGGCCAGGCTCAAGCACGGGGAGGGGAGGTGGTGCCTGGGCAGCAGGGAGGGGGGACTCCAGGACAGGAGTCTTTCTGGAGGGGAGAGAACAGCCTTGGATGCATTGCTGGGTGCAATGCCACTGGGCTTGAAGAAGAGAGAGGATGGGCTCCCTCCCTCCCGTGTGATAGGCTCGCTTTGTTCACACTGGGAGGGGACTGCTCCTGGCTTAAGGGGATCTCCTGTTGCTGTGAGAAATTGGGGCACCCTGTTAGGACCAACCATGCCTAAGGGACCCTCTGCCGGCCAAGCATCGTAGTGGTCAGATCAGTCAATAATATCCTTTAACATCCCAAATAATGTTTTCGGCATAACAGGGTGCTCTCCGATTCTTGTATCATAGTCTTGAATCTTTATGAGAGAGCGGGTTGGACTAGATGGCCCTTCGGTTCCCTTCTCACACTACTATTCAGTGACAGACAGAAGGACTTGCTTAAGGCTGCTCAGGTCTCTGATATACCCCATTCCCACCCTACAGAAAGCATGCAAGCCATTGGCTCCTGGTCTGTTATTTAGAATTTGCTGGGCTTTGAAGGAAGTGATTATTATCCCCACTTTGTGGAACAGAGGAACTGAGAGGTGGCAACCTGTTGGAGGTCTGCACAGTTATCCCTCTGCATACCACCTGCTTTTGTGTGGGCAGCACACAAAGACACACAGCAGGCATTATGGAGTGGGAGAAGGTAGCCAAGCTGACTCTGTTAGTTGCTATCAGGTAGGTGTTAAGCTTGGTGGGATCTTCTGCATGTGGCCAGAAGGCTCATCCAACAACGTTCTTCAAGGGCCACTTGGAATTTGTCATGCACTAGGAAGAGGAGAGCTATTTCTGAATGTCAGCCTGCTATGGGATGGTGACTGCCTGCCTGCCTGCCTGCCTGCCTGCCTGCCTTCCAAAGGGAGTTTGTTGCCCGCCATGTTTCTCTCTGCAGCTCCACCTGGAGAGGCAGCGGGACACAAATGCCTCAGATCAGTCCACTTTATGTGTTATTCACAGGCCCAGTACCTGCTCTCAAGGAGTGCACTGAAAAGGTATCCTCAGCTGCCTGGGGGTGAGGAGACCTGTGATGGGGCACATGTCCTGCAAGCAGAAGGGACCAACCTCAGTCCTTGGCATCTCCAGGCAGGGCTGGGAAATACCCCTGCGTAAGAGTCAATGCCAGCCACTGACTGTAGAGAGTATTAAACTTGATCCAGAGGCTTGGGCCTCTGGATGTCACTGGACTACAGTTCCCATCAGCCCTTGCCCTTGGCCATGCTGGCTGCAGGAGCTGATGGGAGGTGATGTCCAACAAACTTGCCTCCTCATGAGCTTGATGGCCCACTGGTCTGACTTGGCCAAAGGCATCTTCCCATGTCTTATGCCAGGATTGGGCCTTCTTGCACTAAGTCAATTCAACATTAATTTGGCCAGGGATGTGGAGTCATTGCTCAGGGCTTGCTCTTGACAACCTGAAATTGGACCAGGGGATTATTCTACCCAAGCCTGGACCATCAGAAGAACTTTGATATAACTCCTAGGCATGTTTGCTTTGTTTCTTCCATGGGAAAAAGGGAGTGTCAGTGGCCTGTCTCCAAAGAGATAGAATTGCAGAGTTGGAAGAGGCGCCAAGGGTCTCTAGTCCAACCCACTCCCCCTGCAATGCAGGAATCATAAGAACATAAGAAGAGCCTACTGGATCAGGCCAATGGCCCATCTAGTCCATTGCAATGGTCGAGCAAAGTAATTTTTGAATCAGGACTTAATGCTCTGACATCCCTCCACTTTAGATAGCAATGTGCAGGTTAGTTTTCCAAAATGTGGTCAGCCATGCCTGCTGTATGGAGTGGAAGTGTCATTCTCCTTCTGCTGAGTGGAGCCCTGATCCTCTGCCCCAAAGCCCTGGCTGGACTCTGCATGTTATTCCAATTACAGATGGTGGGCATTAAATAGCTGCTAAAGAAATGGCGTTAGCACCTGTTTGCGGTGACTGCATAGAATTACAAGGCAGGCCCCTTCATCTCCCCACCAATGAGGGAAATGGACTGAAATGATTATTGGGGTGTGGGCAAGACCAGGCAGCACATTCTGGGCTCTCTTAAGAGTGGTCAAACAGGCACCAAGCATGAGGAGTTCTCTTGCAAAGCCCCCTTAGCAATAAATGGAAGCCCCACAAGTTCACGCTTGGCTTCACTTAGGCGCATGCAGAAGACGTTTGTGACGGATCAGGCCCCATGTTAATGAATGGGTGGTTGAGTCCCTGCACAGAACACCAGGATGTCCCAAGCCAGCCTGAGAATGTGTGCCAATTCCACTTGCAAAATTTGGGTTCAGGCAGAGGAGCTATCTCTCTGAAAAGGTTCTTTCTTGTGTGCTCTTACTCTCTCTCCAAACACACACACACATATATATGCACACACACTTTTCTGCTGTATAGTTTACAGAGCTTCCCTTTGGAATATTTCGCTGGAGGAAGGCGTTATCACTTCAGGTTTTTTTTTTTAAAAAGAAACGGCAGCATAAAGCTCTTGAGAATTCCTCTTTCTGCTGGAGTTCCTTATCATCCACTTGCAATGTTCACATTAGAGTTCAACTTCCTTTAATTCATTCCAGATTTGTGTGTGTGTGTGTGTGTGTGTGTGTGTGTGTGTGCAGATGCTGGTTTTTCCTATATAAAAAAAGGACTCCCCACCCTATGTTGCTTTTTCCTCCTTCGCAGCCTGCCTTGCCCCTTCTCTCCCTACCCACCCACCCAATGATAAAACAAAACCTCCACTGTGACAAATGGATACCTCAGGATGGGGCAGCCACTGCCTACCCCACCTCCAAGGCATGTCATTCTGTGGGCTCAGGCTGCTTTGTCCTCTTACCGAATGGTTTAAAGTGTTGGCCCAGATAAATTTTACATGAATAATTTCTCTCCCTGCAGCAAGAAAATACACAAAACAAGCCCTTCGGCTGGCTATAATTGAATTTTTTTTCCTGGGTACCTGAAATGTGATTTGTGCTGGAGGAGGGTTGGGGTGTGTGTTTTGCTGGTGTGGATTTGAACCTAATCTTGCAAACTGGCTTTAAAAGCTGATCTTGTCATGAGAGAGAGAGAGAGAGAGAGAGAGAGAGAGACTGTGCCAAGAGCAGAGCTGAGGGTCTTTCTGCAGCCTCAAAGATTAAATTTATATTTCTGTGTCCACCAGGCGAAAGGGCCTTGTAAATCTATTAAGAGAGCAATCCTCTTTATTCCTTGTATATAGCATTTTTAATGTGAGAGAAGCTTGATATCTTTTACTTTGCCTATTCACAGAACATGCCTCTGAG